ATTATAACACATCTTTAGTACCCAACATTATAATTGGTTTTGCAGTTCTAATTTAGAAAATTCATTGTTTAAATGACTTGTTTTTGATTGATTTTAGTTTAAATGTATTTAAATACTCAATGAAATAGCTACATTTAATTTATAAATTAATCAACCTATTATTTTTATTTTATACAACAAATAATGATTTTGTTTAAAAATAATAAACAGAAATTCAAGTTAATTTTAAATGAATAAATATAAAACTGATTTTGTATTAAAAAATTAGAGAAAATAACAGGAAAAAAGATCTTTCCTAAATACAAAAAATCTAATTTTCATTTTGATCATATTAGTTACTTTGAAAAGAATCTTAATATTTATTCTTCATTATTCCACATAAGTATAGTATTCTTAAAATGTAATCTATATTTTATATTTATCATCAGATTGCTATTGAAATGTTTTGATAATATTAATATCTCATGAAACAAAACTACTATAGTTGTAGTTCTGTGAGCATACATTTTATAATGCAAACACAATATCAATGTATCTTAATGTATTAACATTATATATTCCATATAAAATTTATTCTTATTTTGGAAGGAAAAGTATTGCAAGAGTTTGTAAAAGAAAAAAAAATAGGTATTTAAAGTACAAAGATTTTTTAGTAGTATTCCAATATTTTTAATGGGCAAAGAAGTGAAAACAGAACTTTGAAATTTATGAATCTTAAATATGTTAAGGAATTAAAAGATGGGACTGCAAAGTCAAACTGCTTCACAATCTCAAATTTTACATTCTCCAAAGTATTCAAAGTGATGACAGTAAGTAAATACTTCATCATCTAAGTACTCATCAAGGTTAAAGTTTGGATAGAAAGAATGAAGAATATATATTTTGCTATCAAAATAGCTAAAAGACTTCTAAAATTGTGCTGTTTGGTGTTCATAAGTGTAACTCAAATACCTCTTTACTTATGCCTCCTGTTTTCTGATGTTATGTTTAACAAAACATGCAAATTGAAAATTAAAATTATTTTATTTTGCCTCAAATATGAATACAGCTAAAATTTTCACAGAAAATAACATTTCCTAAATTATAATTGATGTATAAAAAGCTTAGAAAAATATGTTAATATATATTCAAAAAATACTGTATCCTTTAGTCAGGGTGCCTTTTGACAAAATGCAATGATATCTTAAAATATTAAAACTCTTCCACTGAAATATACATGCAGTCAGCCCCAGAGAAAAATGTGTCCCTGTGTAGGCGATTGTCCTGAGGAATGTATTATTCCTTCTGGATTACTTTTTCCCTCGAGGTAACATTCTCATTAAAAAGATGAACTGATTTTCTACTCCCAGGGGAAAATACATAGTGCCCAGAAAAGCTTTCTAAATAAACATCTCACCAGACTTAAAACAAAAACAAAAACAAAAACAAACTGGGAGCATATTCATTGAAAATGCCTGAAAATTTCACCAGCATCTCCATTAAGGCATACCCTGAACTTTAAAACAGTAATGTTAGTGCAGAACAGCAACAATTACTTTTCTTATTATTTCTGAAAAATATAACCAATTGTACTATCAAAGCAAAATAACTAATTACAATTAAAGGCAGGGAAATGAGTTCTATGCCGAAGCTCTCTAGTTCTATTTCCATTTTTTTCTTAACTGTCTGAACTTAATTAAAACAAACATAGACTAAAAGGGAGCCATTTGGAAAATATTTTCTGTGTTTAGTATAAATATATTTAAATATCACTAGTAGCATCCCAAAGTTTTTCCAAAAATTTTCATGCCAAAGTACTAAACACTCACCTGATATCCTTATCGACATTTGAGCCATCTTTGCAGTTTATGTCAAGATAAATGACGTTAAGATGGAGCACTCAAGAAGTTTATGATATTCACTAAATTCACCTTGGTCTGCAGACATCTATAAGTACATATTTGTTAATCCATTAGTGCTTACTGAATGCCAGGCACAATTCTAGAATATGGTGATAGATACAACCATTATCCCACTATCTGTTTGTTTGTTTTTACTATATTTATATAGTAAATACTAAACGAAGCATTTCCTATTTTATTTACATTGTATTTGACCAATTAATTAGTAAGAAAAATTCGTAGTCCAAATAATTCTGGATTAATTATCTTGCATGGAATAGAAACAATATTTATAAAGAACAATGCAAATGTTGTATGATGATTTTCACTAAGACCTTTTTATTAGGTGTGAGTACTAGCTTGCTGCACTTCTAATATCTTTCAAGATATTAGTTTTAATGTAACGAAATTTCTGTTCATTAATTGAGAAGGTAGTGATTTATTTATTATGTTTATAGTGGACTTGTCATTACTACCATTTTAAATTTTAATCTTTAGAATTCTCTGTTTGTAACCCTGTATAAAGAGTCCTCTAAGCATCTGAGGAGGAGCTCAGATTGTCACTGAGACTAGTAAATAGCAGTAGTAATGATATTTGAAAATATTAAAAATATAAATACTTTTATTATTGGATTAACAGTCAAATTTATACCACAGCAGATAAAAGGAAATTAGAACAACTTATATTATTAATCATTAGGTATAAGAGCAGTTGCTACATTTAGAATATTAAAATGGTGAATGATGTATTGCATATTTATTGTACCTTTTCCAATTAATTCTGCAAAAAAAGGCCAAAGATCTTTAGTTATTATAAGTATGCTCAGTATTGTTTGAATTGAAACTGAAACAATGGAAATTACCTCACACATAAGTTCAAAATGTGTTAAAAGCAAATAAAATAAGCAAACAAAAAATTATCTAATTTAGGAAGGTAGCTCAATTTTTTGAGAAATACTGATGATATATCTTGTTAAATGTACTGAAAGCTAAATGTGATTTCAAAAGGTAAAAATATGTAAGAAAGTAAATAAAACTAAACTAGTAAGTTCTTTCTTTTTCAAAGGTGTCATACTTTTAAAGTTGCCATTAATTATCTACAAGCAATTATTTCATTTTGTAAAATAAAAGTTAATGGAGAAATTAGATAATATGTTTTGAACTAATTATTTTACAAATATTAGACACATACACAGTAAGATAAAGATGTTTTCTCTAAAAGATATAATCATCCCTTTCATAGGTGCATAATGTAAATAACAGTAATAATTAATTATTGTGTTGCAGATTTTAGAGTCATAGTTGCCATACACCTAGTAGATAGAACTTAAAATCTAAATTTATTTCAGCTGTTCGTAAACCAAGTTCATTGGATTCATTTTTACAAATTGAAATTAAAGCAGAGACACAAAGAAAGTTGCCAAGACAAACCATCAATCTGTGCTGGACAAAGAGACATAATTCAGAATAACAGAATCACCATTTTGACTTTTAGCCATTGGCTATCATTTGATAAAAATAACAGCAAATACTTTGCAACTCTTATTTTCTCATTTGAGGCACAACCTATACTTTCAGTGAGGTAAAAAGCTAAGATGATGACTAAATCAAATCAACAGTGAAAAAAAAATCCAACCAATTATGTATTTATCTAGAAACATATATATAGCAATATATAAAGCTAAGTAACATTTTGTTATAAAAATGATAGAGGAAATAAAACTCCAAATTATTTTCGAGATAGCATGCGTCAGTTTTTTGTCTTCAAGAAAAAAAAATCTTAAAAGGAAAGAAACATATTTGGAGATTGAGACAATTTCATTACAGTTAATCTTTTACTTCCTGTAGGTAATAATTATTTATTTACAACACACCTACTCATAGTTGTTTGTAAAATAACTGGGTAGAAGAACTATAATCTTTGTGTTCAAAGACATTGAAAAAATGCCATTCGTGTCTCTCCCATTTAAAAATCTTTTGTCCTAATTCTGTTGGGTCAGATTTCTCAAGTTATACTGTCATCCTAAAAGTGATTCTCGTGATATTTGATGTTTCACATCATTTCCAAACAAATATAGGCCATTTACATCTTGTCAAGTATATGAGCAGCAGTTTAGGAAAAGCTTTCTGTCGTTACTGCCTGCAATTATAATTTCCCTTCTGTATTCACATACCTCTTAATTACGCGCTGCCACTTCCCTTTTGATGTCCAGGGCTGTGAGAGACAGTGCACTTTAAAAATCACTAAACAGAGTAATTTCACTCTCTGGGAACTCCAAGTCACTGTAAATGGTTAACTTTAACACATATATTTGTATATTTCAAATACAATATAATATACACCAACCAGCCCCCCCCCTTTTCATGTAAAATTATTTGATTCTTATGTTTTCTTATATTTAAGTTTTATTTCCTTAATATAAACCTACATAGAATTTGCTACCTCATATATCACTATATAAGCTTTGATAAACTCTGAGCTCCCCAAGAACAATACCTAAAAATCCATGATTATGATAGATACATTTTAATATTAAGGACCAAATTTCATTTTAATCATGGTGAAAGTTAAAATATACACTTATGGTCTAGCTGGTAATATAAAAGTATTTGAAGTTTCTAGGTTAAAACAATATGGAAATATGGAAGCCTATTAATCTAGCCTAAATCATCTGAATTCCAAAAAAGTTTTTAAGGAAACAAAACCTGAATCCTGATCACCATCACCACTAATTTTTTCAGGAGTTACCACGTGAGCCACCAGTTGGCAACCAAGACTCGTAATGTTTGTAAACACGAAATAGTGGCATTTTGTAAACTATATGACCTCCCCTGTCAACAAAAGTGTATAATTTAAAATATACTAAAAAATAAATTGTCACCTTTATGTTTTAGAGGTTGTGTATTTAAAATTACTGATGAATGACAAATTCATAGTGACAATTTAAAATCCCCATCCCCTTATTCACATTAAGTCCTGCTCACATAGTTCTTGATGGCCATGTTAGAAATGGAGTTGTTGTATTTTTATTTTAATAATGTGGGGGATATCATGAATTTGACTTAGGATATTCTTAAAATTAATTTGTTGGCAAAATAAAGAGATGTATCATCTTCTTCTTTTTTTTTTTTTTTCTTTCAAAAAACAAGGAGGTTGGGGACAGTGGTAGAATGATTCCGTTGTGAGAATTGAAGGCAATGATAGAGATCGTTTTCTAAATGTCTGACCTTGGGCACAGAGTTTCTAAATGAAGAGATGGGGCCAAAACCATAATGGGACAGCAGATGACTCAAGTGCATGCTATGCAAAAAAATACCTTCTCTGGGGAAAAAATCTTAAAAGAAGATGAAGTTAGTTGTTAAATTAAAAGTCAAGCATAGTGAAAGCCATATGAAATTAGTTATTTCCTAAAATGCTTACTTTTATAGAAAGACCCTCTTTAATTTTCTGTGTGTGTGTGTATGTATGTGTGTGTGTGTGTGTGTGTGTGTATATGTATATATATAAAATCTTGGAGAGGATATTTAAAATTTATAATCTGGATACTCAATAATTATCTTTTAACTTTCAAAAAACAATTTCCAGTGAAACACTACATTTTCATCAAAGAATAAGGAATCTTTCATTATAACTAGGTAACGCATATATCATTATACTGATTGAATGCATTTAAATGACAGTCTGGTGAATGATTTTGAATATTCTCTAAAATGACTAATTTCTGGATCTCAATATTCTCATTTGGATGCACCCATATATATGCTCATGGTCACTAGATTTAAAAATTTGGGCAGGATTATAGATTTGAGGTATATCCTTTGAAGAAACATAATTACAACTTAACTAGTGGTAGTTTATAACTTCATATTTTAATATCTTATACCTAAATGCTAAACGAAAAGAAAACTGTGAAGAAACCCTATTATATGTAATGTATATCTTAGGAAACTTTAGCAAGGGCAGATTTCAGCTATATAAAGAAAAACATATACCATTAACTGCGTATTTTGAAGTGAAGATTTAAAGTAGATATTAAAACAGAGGATTTAAATAAATTTGATAGCTATAAGTCTTTCACTATTAGAATTTTCAGAGTGATATACCCTTTTGACTTTGGATGTTAATATAGCAAAAAATATTCTATGTTTATAAAGTTAAAAAGCAGAATTTTTGTGGATAATTTATGAAAATATATTATTACAGGCAAGATAAATTTATTGGTCAAGTTTTCATTTTTATATATCGATTTTTATATTATTTAAAACTAGTCTGCATGACGCTGATAAACTTCTCATGTATGAAATATGCTAGTCAGAGTATTATAGTATCCTAAAAGAAATTTGCTAATCAATGAACCTGGGGTTACTGACATGCTTCAGATTTTATTTCAATAGGCAGGTACTAAATTGAAAATATGCAGAAATTTTGGCTTCAATATCCATTATTATGTATTGTTTTTAATGAAGTATACAAGATTTTTGAAAAGTGTGGTAGTTAAGAATACTAGAAATGATCACTAGTGGTAGAAATTAATTTGTGAGTAAAAATCTAAAACATGTACATTCCAGAACACCAAAACCCACAGAATTTTGCTACTTGCATAAATATATATGAATATAAATATGATTCAATACTGAAGTATTATAATCAAAAAAGAATTGAACTTGTATGGTAATGTCTTGAAATAATTCTTTAAATATACAAATTGCAAATAAGCTTGTTTAATGTGGACCAGGTATAAATGAGTCTTCAAAATAAACCCACAATGTCATCTGTGCGTATGTTAAATTAAAATTAAAATCAACAACAAAAATGAAAAACATCCTTTCAAAACAATGGTTCATAACTTCCACTTTTAGAAACATGAATTTTAAAGTATATATATGCTTATTTTATAATATAATACACAATATTTCTTCATGATTACTAATAAAGATGCCCAAAAAAAACCTCAGTGGAAGATTTCCGTTCAACATATCTCTGTGACTATTACTTGACTATTACTTTCTTCTATAAAATGACTTTCCTAATATCTAATAAAAATGTATCTGACATACTTAGCATTGTTGCGCAATATATCATAATGTTTTGTTTTGATCTTTTGTTTTGGTCTCTAAAAAATCAAATTATATTTGTATTATATCAATTTTCTATAAAATATTTCTAATTTAATCTTCAGAAGTTTTTTAGGAAATAGTCTAAATATCTCAAACTTGGAGTTAAATGTTGTTCTTTTAATACTAGCACAGTTTTTATAATACTAGTACAATTAACATGAGAAGTATTTGACCTGTGCCTAGTAAGCCATGGTCTGCTAAAACCAGAGGAAGAAATAAAAAGTACTGTATTATTGTCACATTCAAAAATTTTACTGCATCAAATTTTCTGTCCCCAAACTAACATTCCTAAAACATTAAAATAAAAAGTATAATCTGAAATCCTTGAAAATATTAAAATATAAAAAATTTGGGGAAAATGTGTGTGTAATGACTCCTCGATAATCCATCTATTTTTGTATGTCATATACATGCTACATATATTCATGGAAATATATATGGTTATAGAAAGGCATTACATGGAATTGAAATTAATAATTATAATGTACAGTTGTTATATCAATGGATATAAAGTTTATGAGGATATAGATGTTAGATAATTATTTTTAGGCACATGACTAATGTCTATCCAACTACTTTAATTTTATTCTCACGTATTTATTTGCAACAGTGGAGAATCTCAAAGGGTTTGTGAAACTTATGCATAATTACAACTGTTAATATAGTAACAGTTTATACTTTTGCAACATTTTATTCTCTTTGAAAATTAATTAATTAACTGTGCCTGGTTCTATTATTTAAATCTGTTGCTTTGATGTTTCTAGTTCCTTTTTCTTAGTGTAAAATTTATTCTTAAAAGTAGTCATTCCAGGTATCTCGCATGCCTGCAAATACCTTAATTTGGAGCAGTCTGAAAAGTGCAAGAAGAGTACATTTCCAAATGAATTGACAGAATATTTGTGATCTGCTGTACTATCATTAATCTGGAGTCGTGTGACTTTGGGAACCATTGATAGAACTCTTGAAATTAGATAGCCAGCTTTTGGCATTTCAAACTAGGACTAAACTATTTTCACTCTTTCCTTTGCTTTATTGAAAAATAATGAAGAAAAAAGATAAAAAGAGAGAAAGAAGGAGGGAAGGAGGAGATGCAAGGAAACAAGAAATAATAGAATGCAAAAAGAAAATAATAAATATTAATTTGAATATTTTGCCAACAAAACAAGGTATTAACACACATGTAATTAATACGTAAGGCCAGAAACTGCGATCTTGGATTAAATTCTTAAATTGTAACTTTTTTCACAGTACATGTGGATGTTCTCATTATAAACTAGTTTGATTTTCTTACTAGTATTGAACAGTAGTGAGGAACAGACATGAGTTCCCAGGAAATTTTTCAAAATTTTCCACTTTTCATGTGTAAAGGTGATAATCTGGACTGAAGAGAAGACATGTTCCAAGTCGGCTATCTATGCTAAGGTGGTTTAACTTATAACTTCAATCAATAGTTTAGCTGTAAATGATTTTTTTATATTAGCATACAAATTATCTACATTTTCTTGGAATATGTTTATTTTCTCTTATATAATTTAAGTATTTATGTCATAATCACATAGACATTGAAATAATATTTTGTAATATCTACCTGGAAATATATGAGATTTATGCAACATATTAAATCGAACAAGCACAAAGAATAAGCTTAATTTGCACCCAAAATTTAATTGATGCCTGAAACATTATAGATTTTGTTCCCCAAAATTCTGTGAAGATAATTTGCAGGGTTTCTTACTCCAGTCATATACTACTGATACGCTCAGTCTAATTATCTACTCAGTGAACAACTTAAATCAACAAAAAATCAAACATTCAACACTATACCACCTATATTCTAATGTGTAAGTTAGTGTATTGGCAGGAAGCCATTGGTAGGAGGAAAAACGTTCATTTTTTAATTCTGTGCAGTTTCATGATTCTGAGATAAGGAACATTTTTTTCACATTTATGAAAGGATGAATTTACTTTTATCTTCTTAATACAGTAGGAAAATATACAAATTAAGGGTAACTTTTAAAAATCGATCTATAAATGTTATTTTCGAGATTAAAATTAGATATTGGACATCTTAGGAAGGGTAAAGATAGAAATGAACTACCTAAAGGGAGTATATGTGACAAAAATATGTAAAATGATGCTGGTTTTACAATAAAATTTTGCAAATCTTTGAAAAAATGTATACATCACTGAACTTTCTTTGAAAGTTAGTTATATTGTCCAGAATTGTCATTAATTTTATGTAATTCTTATCTTTTTGTTTTATGCATCAATTAAGAAATAAAAGTAAGTTACATGGAGGAGTCTACTTTACATTTATATTTTATAATTTATAAAACTGTCATACCTATATATAAGGTTGAGGAAGTGATATTGACATTAAAAAAATAAATGCCTGCTGCTGTGAATAACAATCTCAATTGTGAAGTCAAATGCTAATTTCTTTTTCTTTTCTAATCCTGGATCTAATATACAGGAGGTAGATGAAGAGCAAGCAATGCCCTTTTCTTCATGATAATACCATGGCATTATTGAGCTTATTCCTTTCCCCTTTGAAAAAAAAATTTAGAAAGGAAAATGTTGCAAAGAATATGAATAGCTTACTGTACTTGGTCAATGTAGCATTACAATTTTTTTTAATCCTCGGGGAAACTGGTACCACCTGTTCAATCTGAATTCAAGTAGTTACTGTCAATTTTCTCATGGGTGAATGCTGCCTCTTTGTGGCAGAATGCCATGGAAATTGTTCTTTAAACACAAAGTTCATGAACGGCCCTTGATATTGTACAAATTCCAGGTGAGATTATTGGGAGATCCACCTATAGCAATGAGGCACATAATTGAAACATTTCTTATCCTTAAATCATAGTCTAAACTCACTAGAAAACCTTATTCAAAGATGATGGGATCATATCCACCAACATTTTGAGCATTTAGAATACTGATCAACTTTAGATAAGGAATCCATCATAATTGTTGAAGGTAGTTTTACACAAGTTAAAAATATGAAAACTATGGAAAACTGTAGACTGAATAAATAATACTGATATGACAAGTACATCATATTAAGAGAAAAGTGAATATGCAATATATTACTTACCATGCACCACGTAGCAGATGAATACTTCAGTAAGGAAACAGTTACAACATTGAAAATATAATAAACACATTAAGTGACACATTTAGAAAACCATACTTCCCTGAACCAACAAAGGCATACATTACATATATATGTAATATATGTTATATATATATATGTATACTTTAAAATTTTGCTAATTAGGGGAAAAACATTTTGTATTAGGAATAAAGTTTAGGAACTACTTCCTAAATTGTTAATGGTGGAGATTCTATCAATCACACATAGGTAAGTATTTTGCACCTTAAATAATCATTACTTCCATCCCTCATATTTGACATAGTTATCAAGTGTTTATTCAGAAACTATTTAAAAAATTACATGTGCTGGGATACATATGAGACTGTAACAACAGTAGCCCCATCTTACAGAGATCCTGTTTGTCATTATCATCATTGCTTGCTGCCCACAGGGATAAAGACATCGTATAGAGACTTGTACAGTCCATGATTTGGTCTTCTGAGGTGCCAGTACATGTGGATCTGTACAAATGCAACTGGGTTTGGTTAAACAATCGAAAATCGGCTACAATAGTAGTCAAATCAACATGTCATTTTGGTTCACTAATAAAAATAACTTTCAAATCTTTTCTAATAAAACCCAAAACTTTCACACAATTCACACTGGAATGGCCCAATTAATTGCCCTATTTTTTTTTTTTTTAATGCATTGGGATACAATCAGATCTTCCTTCTTAAAAAAAAATACAGATTCAATTGGGTGGGTTGCATTGGCTTTTAAAGATTTTGCCATTAAATTCTCCACATTTTTAATGATTGAAAATGCCTTCCTGATACCACGTCAGTTTTAGAAATGCAGATCCTAATACAGTGCGACACCTCTGCAAAATCATAGGCTAAAGTGAAGGAAAGAGGAATGCTAAATGTGCATATAAAAATAGGTGCTACAATAAAATATTTGTATATTTCATCAATAAGTTATTTTGACTAATCAATTATGGATCATATAGCTCTGTAATTTTAATGATTTGTCCACATCTATGGTGATCCTTTACAGGATCACAATATTTTTTTAAATTCAAATGTCCAGAATGCATACAAACACATCCTTTAAAAACAAAGAAAAGGAATGAGAAGGGAGGGGAGGGAAGGAGAGAAGGAGAGGGGCGGAAAAGAGAACAAATTTCCTATTAAAGTTGGGGTGTGCTAATTTCTCCACAAAAGCCAGTTAGACCCACCCATGGCTTAAAAGGGGAGAAACGGAGGTGGGGCGGGAGAAGGGGGGAGGAAGCAAAAGAGGAAGAGTAGAATCTATGCTCTGCCATCATCCACCATTCTTAGCACTTCCAACCACTACAAAAATGACTGCGGCCTTTCACAAATCACCCGCGCAGCAAATTGCCCTCCTTAAAGCCCTTCTCCACACCTGCCCCACACGCAAGAAGAGAAAGTGATGTGCCCAGTTTACACAAATGTTTCCCACGTGTAAATTTTAAAGGAAATTGCACACCCTTTTCGTATCTTCCACCGAAGCTGAGAAATCCCGTGCCAAGGCACTTCACCCTAAACGTTGAAACAACACAATTAATCAAATGTGTTCACCGTGTGTGTCGGCTTGCTTGTTTGTTTTAAATGCAAAAGCTCCAAGGGAGTTTCTTTGCTTTTAGAACTGGCTAAATGTGGTCTGTTTTTCCAGCACTTCGAGGTAGTCCGGCTCAACGTTTAGTTTTGCTTTTAACTCCAGATATTCGTTCCGGTTGGGTTCTACAAAGACAGCACTCGGGGGGCTGTAGAGCACCGGTTCCCGTAGCCTGCTGTCCCCTGCCCCCGGATGCAAATACTGATGGGGGCGTCTCAGGTCATAGTTGGGGGAGAAAGTGTAAGCAGCGGGGCTGCACGGGAATTTGGGATATTCCGGGAGGCTATTGCCGGCGGGGGTGGTGGAGCAGTGTTTGTCTGGTTCTAAAATGCCCCTGTAAAAGCGGTCGGCGTCCTGCACCGGCGACAGCAGGTCCTCCCGGGGCTCGATGGTGCTGACGCTGTAGGCGGGGCTCCGCAAGTGGTGGCTTTCCCGCCTCTCCTCCTCCCCGGGCTGCAGTTGCAGCTGCGGCGGGGGCTGCTGCTGTGGCTGCTGCGGTGGCGGCGGCGGCTGCTGCTGCTGCTGCAGGTGGTGGTTGCTGCTGTAGGTGACCTTGAGCTCGTGCAGGTCTTTGTAATCCTCTACGGAGTTGCCCTCTCGGGAGCGGTAGATGGGGTTTTTGCACATGTGGCCCAGTGGGTGGGGGATGTATTCATACACGTGGCCCGCGGGCGTCTTCACCTTGGGCAGCGCGGGCCCGCGGTGATGCACGTGCGCGTGTGGGTGGCCGCCCGCACCGCCGCCGCCGCCGTACACGCTGTACTGCATGTTGAAGGAACTCACGTCGGAGTTGTTGGTGCTGGTGTGGTCGCTCTGGTTCTTCTTCCTACGCTTCATGACCAGCACGAAGAGCCCAGCGGCCACGAAGACTGACATGATGAAAACCAGCAGGAGGCTGAGGATTAACACAGACAAGGGCACAGACGACGCCCCTCCGCCTGCGCCCAAGCCCGCGGGGGCCCCGGTGCTGTTCAACCGGACCGCAGGAGTCACCGCGCTGGTCCTCGCAGGGACCTGGATGGAGGAGGGTGTGGGCGTGGAAACCACTACATCTGAATAGTCAGGGCACAGCAGCTCCGACTTAATGGAGCGCATGTCTGTCTCAGCGAATTTCTTGGGCGCCTTACAGATCACCTCGTCCACTAGGACGCCCACTTTGAGCTGCTCCACCCACAGCTTCATGCCCACAATGTCGCAGGTACAATCCCAAGGGTTGTCGTGGAGGTCGATTTGGATGAGTGACTTCAGCTGGTCCAAAACTCCACTCACCGGCAAGGAGGTGAAGTGGTTACTCCTCAGGTTTAGCCTGAGGAGGGTCAGGCCAGAGAAGACGCCTGAGGGCATGGCCTGCAGGAGGTTGTTATTCAAGAATAGCAGCTGGAGGTTTGGGACCGGGTCAAAAGTTCCAGACTGAATCTCGCGAATGAGATTGTACTGGAGGAAGAGATACTGCAGGCTCTGCAGGCCATAGAATAACTCCGGGCTTAGCCTCTCGATCCTATTGCCATTCAGGTACAGGCGCCTCAGGTTGGTGAGATCCCCGAAAGCGCGGTCCTGTATCATCGAGATGCGGTTGTTCCCCAGGTGCAGGAGGTCCAGCCCCGTGGCCTCCAGGAAGTCTGTCCTGCGCACGACAGCGATATAGTTCTCCGTCAGATACATTTTCTTGGGGTTGTAGGGCTTGGGCTGCAGTTCAGCCATGCTCTCGATCTTTCGCTCCTGGCAGTTTACGTTGAGGCCCAGATCAGAGATCTGCAGGTTGCAAGTGCACGCGGTGGGACACTCCAAAGGCACCGGGGATTTGGTCTGATAGGCGATGCTGGGGCCATAGTTGCTGTAGCCCAAGTCCTTGGAGGGCTGCCGAGAGGTGGGGCGCACCCTGGGCTTGTTGGGTTGGCGGGTCCCCTTAGGGGGCTTCAAAGGGGGTTTGTAAACAGCAGAGGAAGAAGTGGCCACAGAATTCACTGAGGCCGGGGTGGTGTGTAAATACCCCGTGGTGCTCAAAGGCGTCTGCGGCCTCATCTCGTAGTCAGAAATAAGTCTCCTTGGGCACAGTTCCTGCTTGGATACTTCATCCAAGTCCCTGCCGTGTAAGCGGAAGGGGGTCTCACAAACCACATCCCCCACCAGGGCTGAGTAGGAGATGCTGTCCAACCAATCCTTTAGAGAGATCAGCTCACAAGAACAATTCCAAGGGTTTTCCTCCAGCTGTAGCTCCACAACTTTATCCATGTGCTGTAAGAGCCCCACGTAGGGCAGAAGTTTCAGCCTGTTCCCCCGGAGGTCCAAGTGCGTTAAGGGCACAAAACGGAAAAGATTGTTGGGTAAACTGGACAAAAGATTGTCATTGAGGATAAGCACCTGCAACAAATGCAGTTTCCCAAAAGCATTGGGTTCAATGACGCTGATGTAATTGTAATCGACCTGTAGGTACTCCAGGTTCTCCAAGCCAAGGAAGGTATCATCTCGCAGAAGTTCCAGTTTATTATTGTTCAGATGCAATCTCCTCAAACCCCGTAGCCCATGGAAAGCCCCGGTCTCAATGTCCTGGATAACATTGCTACCCAGATGCAAAATTGAAGCCCCAGTGTAATTGACAAACTCATTGGGATAGAGACGGTTCAAAAGGTTTCCGGACAACAAGAGGTGGTAGATTGGGAAACGGGGAGGGCTAATTTCAGAGAGACTGATGATCCCGCGGTTTTCACAGCTCACAGTTAAAATGCCGTCCTTTTCCTCACAAGGACATGCATTGTCACAGATTTCCCCATAATAATCGATGGTTTCTGCACACGAAAGGACGAGAGATGTTACAGCAAACGCTAGAGTCTGCAGCATCCAGCTATGCATTTTTCTGTGAAGGTCCTGTTCCAAAGTTACTGGGGGGCAGCAAGTGTGCATTTTACCTCCTGTAAGGGAGAGAGAAAACAAGGAAACAACAGAATATGACAAAAATTTAAGGCATCAGTCAGAAAGTCTCTCTCTTAATATTATTACCCTAAAACCCAAAAGGAAGAGATATAAATGACACACCCCCCCAGTGAAACATTGACATTCTCCAGATTTTATTAAAATCTATTATACATTTTGATTTAAAGGTTGATTTCATTTTTTTTTAAATGAGCACACCGCAAATATGCTGCTCCCTACAAGAAAAGAGCAGGTTAGATAAAGTCCCATTTTAGTTTTCTCTGCTCCCCCCTTTTCAAAACCAATCCATAAATATACATAAAATGGCTGTCAGTTCAGTTTCATGGTTCTAATTTAAGAAAAAAGAAGCACCATTTTACAAGGTTCCCCACCTCACCTATACCCAGTCCCCTCCCCCCTTTCTTTCTTTCAGAACCTCTTCAGTTAACAGTTCACCATGAAGGTCTCTTATTTTCACAGAGAGGCAAGGAGCCAAGATACTTGGGGTATTTTAAACCATCGCTAGAAATGCCACGGTGGGAACCTAAAGGATACTTTTCAGAGGCAAAAAGGGTGTAATATAATGCATCAAAGGAGCCCCAAGAAGCTCTTAGATCACCAATTGTCTTCCGGAGCTTTGAGTAAGGAGAAAAAGGAGAATGCATTTGCTTTGATGGTGGACTTCACTACCACGCTATTAAGCACATCAGCGTCCTAATTGCATGCACGGTGCCACTTAGCAGCGCTTCCCTGAGAGCGCCCTGCGACCACTTCTCATTGATCATGTCAGCGACGCTACCAAACCGCATCTTTAAGCCACTGAAATAGTTCTGCACGACGGATTACAAAGAACTCAGCGAAGGTATCTGCAATCTCCGAATACCTCCTGATGCCTAGAGTTTAAAAAGGACGTTCCTACCGCTTACTGGGAATCAGTAAACCAAGGATCAGTGCCAAAGCCTCGCTTACCTTGGGCTCCGCGTCTATTTGCAACGGTAATAGCAAGGGTTGCACGGAACTACCACCTCGACAGCATCCCCATCTTTGGAGTTGCTTATTACATTTAATTGTTAACGCTCCCCTCTCTCCTTTTTTTAATCTCAGGGAAAGGACGCCTGGGATGATTAAAAGGCAAAATAGAAAGGTGGGAGGGAGAACTGTAAGTGACTTAGGCCAGTTATTTAATATACGAATTTCATCTCCCACAGGAATCAATGTGACCCCCTCCCCCCCTTTTTTCTTGCTCTCTTTCTCTCTTTTTGTCCCCTTGAAGGCTTCCTTCCACTTCCTACTTCTGATCAACAGCAGCACTCTTAAAGGAAGGACATAAATGGAATGAGCGTGTGTGAGTGTGTGTGTGTGTGTGCGCGCGCGTGCACGCTGCGTTGGTTAATGGGGTGGGGGACATTTGGTAGAAATGCTGGGCTCTAGGAACCTACGCCTTTTCTCTGGTCAACCTTGCCTTTGCCTCACTCCCGAAATCTAATATCAAATTGCAACTCCAAACTAAAGCCAAGATGTTTCCGAGACAGCGGTTTCAAGCCTGGAGACCTTGCTCCTGATCCCCAAGTCGACTCCAGCCCGCGTTATTAAACACCCCTGCATTCACACGCACATGTACCAGTGTGCCTGCGAATCATTCACGTGTGGCCACCCAGACGTGTCGAGACGAATCGGAACCATAGTGCATAAACCTCGCAAGTATCCCCGACCTCCCAACGCAACGGTAAACGTCTCCCGGCTTAAAAGCGGCAAAAACATCCCCAGTGAAAGCAAAACGTTTACCTTGAAATTTCAGTTCTCCGCTGGATCAAATCCGCACATCCATTCAGCGAGGTTGGGTCCCCTCCCCCTCCCTCCCTGTGCTTCCCCGCCCCCATTCACCTCCCACCGCATCTGAAAGCCCATTGCAAATTCTGTCCAGCCAGTATTAAACTCCAGCGTTTACAACTTTAATTCAGTTCTAGTTAGCAAGGATCGAAGAGCTTCCTCTCAACCCACCCCCTTTCCCCTCCTCCTTGCTAGCAAAGGAGACCAAAAATTTGAGAAAATAAAGTTGAATGAGCCTGGGAAGGCTGACATTCTGACGGGGAAACGCACCTCCGATGGAAATTCGCGGGTGCGCTGAACATTCTCAGATTCTCAGATTTTTTTTTTTTTCCTGGAGGGCGGGGGCGGGGGGATTATTCATTTTCTCCCAGAGAATTTAGGTACTGGATCACCGCCCTGTACGTCCCCGCATTAAGCAGCATGGAGCCACTCGTACTGGAGCCCAGCACCCAGGCCGAACCGGAGGCTCCGGGCACAGCTGCTCAAGCGGCCGCCCAGGCAGAAGCACCCGGAGTTCCAGGACGCGAGGCTCCCCCTCCCCCACCCCGCCCCAAAGAGAAGGAAGGGAAAACGGAGGAAGAAGGGGAGGGAGGAGAGGGAAAGAAAGCCACCCCGCCACACACACACACACACACACACATACACACACACACAGAGACATACACACGCGACCTCTTTTGCAAAGTAAACGATAGACTTACCCCGTTTCACATCTCCAAGGCCCACTCATCATAGCCATCCTTTAAAAACACACACATACACAAAAACCCTCTTTGGGGTATGCATTGGGTTTCTCAAGCCCAGGCAGGGCGAGGTGACCGCGAGTAGCTGGGTCCCAGAGGCTGGAGGAAAGAGGCGCCCGGACGCCTCCAGCCCGGGGCCGCCGCCGCGGTGGCGACCGCGGGTTCCGGGGCTCCCCAAACGACTCTCCCCGGGTCTCTCCGCGGTAGTCGGAGCGGGCAGCAGGGTTGGGTGGGGGGAAGAGCAGGGGGCGATCTGGAGCGGCGGGATAGGAAGGTAGCGGGAGGGGGCGGCGGAGGTCCGGCTGGAGAGGCGCCTCGCGGTAGGGGCCGGGAGCCGGAGCCGGGCGGGGCGGGGAGGGGGAGCTGCTGGGAGGGGAGGCACGGAGCGGGAGGAGGGGGACGCGGAGAAGACTGCCTGGCACCGCCGGCCCCGCCAACGTGACGGTCAGCCCCGCCGAGCGCTCGCACCCGCTCACACTCATGATCACTCGCACACTTGCTCCAATCCGTGTTAAGGCGCGATCGCGGGGTCCCTGGCAGCCTTCGCTGCACCCTCCCCCAAGTGGGGTACTCACAGTTCCCATCTGCAAAGGGGGCAACTTTCTCCGACCCAGCTGTGGCCGCCGCCCCCTCCAGCCTCCTCCAGCTCCTCGCACCCTCGGGCCTGGGTTCGCGCCGGCCGGCCCTCCCCTCCCCCCTCGGCTCTCCTCGCGGTCTTCACCACATTCCCCCCTGGTCAGTGGCGCACGCCCGGGGACCAGCCAGAGGGAGCGGGTCGCGGGGGTGTGCATGCATCTCCCGCCTTCTTCTTGCAGCGCACACTGTACATGGTAGTGAGGGGGCGAGCGAAGGTGGCACCGGCCCCTCCGCTGCTCCAGCGAAGGCGGCGGCTGCAGCTCCTGCTCTGTCCTCCGCCCCCAGCGCAGCGGCGACCACCTCGTTGGGATCCCGCCGCCGCTGTCCCCGCGCCGAGCCAGCCGCCGCCGCGGCCCCTAATTAGTATTTGAGAGGCTCCCTCATCCTTTTGGCAGTTTCATCCCTCACGGTGTTTGCAGGCTTTTTTTTTTTTTTTTTTTCTGTATCCCTTCCCCAGATGCGGCGCACAATCGTCATTATTTGGAACTCTCTATCACCGACATCCTTTGGGGTTTCTGGGGGAAGAGGAGGGGGGGCGGGCAGGAACCGCGTCGTTCTATGCCTGTGGCTTGTCCTGGCAGCACGGTGGCTCTAAAAAAAAACTCCGAGAAAGTCGCGTCTTCCTCCCGGTCGCCGAGGAGGTGGCAACACGGAAAGCAACTCCGGGTCTCTGAGACAGCTGCTCCAGAGCGGGTGCAGGGCCCAGTCCGGTGCACTTGTTTATTGTCGCGCCTCTGGTGCGAGCCAAGCTGCAGCAGACATGGTGGGCCCGGGGCGAAGCGGGCGCTCGGTGGCCGATAGATGGCAGCCGAGGGCGAAGGCGTCCCTGGGCTAGGGCGGCGCAACCGGAGCCCCCTTGGATGTCACATTCTTAGGAGACAGAGGAGTCTTGGACCATGTGCGTAATACGAGCGTGGGACTGTGCAATTCTTGGATTGGGAAAGGGAGGAGTGGAAATAACCCCGGCGGTGACAGGTTTGCTGGTGGTCAGGAACAGATGATTCCAGCTCAGTGCTGATCGCCTGCCTTCCTCCTGCCATTTAGAATGCGGCTGTCTCATGTACATACTGTTAAGGATCCTGGAAAAGGGAGTGGTTCCTCCTAGCTGCAAACAAGGGCGCTACTTTTCTTTTCTCTTTTTAATAGAATTACGTTTTATAGGTGTGTCTAGGCAACACAAGGGAATGTGAAAGACTGTCAGAGGGAATGTTTTTGAATACATTTGGTGTGTACTAAAAAGCTGGAAAACCCCTAAGTAAATGCAGTATCGATAGAAAGCGAGTTTCTTGAAGAGTCACCTGCTAAACTCTACTAGAGTCATCTCTACAGTAAGTATTCTTGGCTCTTTCCATGAAACCAGACACTTCCATCCCCAAAAGGGGGTCTTTACATTCATAAGACATGTTTTCAGTGTTTGTAATATTAGACCTGCTGTTCATCAAAGCTATAAGAGAAAAGTTGATCATCATAAGTGACTCAGTGCAGACTGAGTGCACATGTGCCTGTTCCTTTGATAACTATGTAGTTAGTTTCTCCATGTAAATATATTTTACCCACTTTATTTTGGAAATAGTTGATATTGTTTTATTCTTAGTAATATTTGGGATAATACTGTGTTATAATATTCTGGTTAATCATGTTTAATATTAATATAGAGTCCGATAGTATGTCTATGTTCTGAGACGTATATGTCTCTCAGGCGATCGACATTGCAGTCTCTTGAGGTATTGCAATCTTTCTTGAACTTTCCCCTGCATATGTTGTGCAAATATATATTTTTTTACTTTATACCATAATTACTTTATTTGGAAACAATTTTGTTTGAGTGTGGGTTATATTCAAGGGAGAGGAAGGAAAGAAGTAATAGTAATTTCAGATAATAAAAACAAAGTCTTGTAATGGAACGTTTTATTAAATTTAGAAACATTTGACCTAGGAATGATAGTCACTAGCTATAGATACATTGCATAAACAATTATAACTTACACTTCATCCACAAAAGACTTATTTCTGTATTTTTATTTAGTCATTAACTTTTAACACTATATAAACATTTTAGAAAATTTATTTTTAAGTGTAAAATTACTTCTATATTTTCAAAATGAAAATGTAATATTTAAATTTAAAATTATATAGGAATTACAGCCAGAAGCCTTTGGAATATAACTATTGAGTCCTATCAGAAACATAATTTTCAATATTGATTAACTTTGTAGAAGTCCTGAAAGGTCCTAAATTGTCTTAATTGATTATTTATTTTTTCAAAATAGCTTAAATAAAGCTATTGTATTTTATCACTGTTCTAAATCTTCATAATTGTATTCAATATTAAAGTTTAATTCATGGTTTTGTATTATTTTATTTTAAATACTTACTGTTCTAATTAAAGTAAATGTTATTCAACTAAGAAGTATTAAATATGTTTGGAATTAGTTTAAGTTACGGTTTTGTTGGAAACACTTATGCTAATAATCTAGTTTATCTCTTGTGGTTCAAATAAGTAAATGATGAAAACTTTCTACCATTAACTCAACAATAAGGGTGGCCCCAGAAGCCACCACTACCTTTTGCCGCTAGGTGTCTCTGTAAGATGCTCTGCAAGAAAATGAAATTTTAGAAAATACTGTGGCATGAGCTCAGAACAGAAGAACACAAGAGGGAAAACATCATAGATATAAGGAGAAGCCTCAGTTATTAATATGTTTCTTTATTTGCATTGAATGTTGACTATTGCTTAGAAAATATATAAATGAATTATATAAGAGTGCTCAAATATGAGCAAAAACTTTTACCTCACATGAACAAACGTGTCTATGTTTTAGTCTATATTAAGCAACATATGGTCATATGTGTACACATGCTTTCAGATAGCACTCAGATACTGCACTTAATTACATAGATACATTTGGCCATTGTAAAATTAAATGATTGATCAAATATATCTCCCCAGAATTAAGTTTATTAATATTAAACATTATTTGATGGAGTTGGATGTGAAAGTCACATTTGTCCAAATGTTTGCAAATATATTTTTTCATATTAGAATTATCTATTGAGAGAGTATCATCATAAATGCATATCATGTGGGGAAATATATTTGGCAAATATATTTGGCATTTATACTGCAAATGTAATTGTCATGATCAATTATGGTCATAATTTGATACCTGCAAATTTAAATTTAAATTTAAAACATAAGTAGCATACTTGCCACTTAAAATTGACCGTATATTTTTGTAAATTTATATTTATTAATTTCTAGAATTATTATTTTAGTGCTTTATGAACACAAGAGGAATTATTATATTAAGTACATTTCTTAAGATAACACTTATCACATTTGTGTATCACCGTGTGTTATCTTTAGAATATTAAAATGCTTAGTCAAGAATTATGGTGCTTTAAGAAACAATCTAATGAGGATTATAAACAAGGAAATTCTTTATTAATCATTGCATGACTTCATAAGTATTGATCAACATCTACCTAAAGCCAGATGGCAATTTTGTTGCTGTTGTTGTTAGCCTAACTGGTGAGTTAAGATTATGGAATTCTAATGCTAAATTTCTATTACTCCATAGTAATGGCTAAGAAGTCTGTTCAACTCAATTTAATAAATGACACATTTTTCAAGTCTAAGTTAAGGGGCATATGTCTTTAAAGTTTTTGAAATTGAAATTTTATATATATCACATTCATATATATAATTATATATAATATATGATATATAAATATATATGTCTTACATATCTAAAAGGAGAAAATAAAAGTTTCTCCTGGAGGAAAATAATGAGTCACCATTTATGATTGTGTCTCTATGAAATTGCTAAATTAAATAAGTATACAGCATTTGTCTTTGACATTTTGTCTAATACATTTAACATTAAAAACAAACATCATGCAGTTATAATGATCAAAGTAAAAATGGCCAGCAAATATAATTTTGCTGAAATTATTTATTCACTTATAGACTTAATTATTCACAATCTTAGAAATAGACTCTCAGAGGCATTACAAAAGAATATACAACAAATAGCCAATTTTCTTCCTTGCCTCATGCAGTTCCTTGCACATACACTCTGGTATTTTTTGACATAATTACATATGAAAATATCCTTTTTGGATAACCAATTGGAATTATCTACAAAAATATATCTTTGGAACACTACTTTTTCAGAAAGTAGCCTTCAGGTGTGCCAGAGTAAGATATATAAAACACTATGTCAGAAGATATTATTTGTAACAGATGCTTGCATTTGAAAATGACTAAGAACAAGTTAAATGTCTGACTCACTGAAAAATCATACACATCCATCTATACCTTAGAATACTCTTCTACTTTAAACACCAGTTTGTATAGGAATACTGTTTTGCCATTTCTAGGATTATATATAACATTACCTGTAATATGTGAGAGGCAGACTTTTTTCTGGAAAGAAATTAATACACACAAATCCAATAATAGTGTTTACCTTTTGGAAGAAGACTGGCACCTTAAATAGAATGGGAATTTGTTTTTCATCATATGCTCTTTTCTTTACTATTTTTGTTTTTTATTGTTTTGGTTTCTACTATATTTTGTTCAATTTTTACATACACATTCCCAATAAAAATTTGTAAAAATGTGCACTTGAAAAATAAGGATATTTGGAAGGGTGATTTAAGAGCTTAGGAAGAGTTCAAGATGATTTCCTTAAATTCATCTCTATCCCATAGTTCCCAAATGGTTTTATTGTTCATGACACATTATTATCATTGGAGACACTGAATATATTTCTAAATATGAGTGCCAATTAATTAGTTACAATAATTTTTCATCATTACTCATATGTGACATTCAATTCTAGCTACCAATATCAGCTAGTAGAATGGTCATTAGTAGAAGCTAGCTTTGTTATCTTCACTATTCAGAACCATGCTGTGTGTTGGGAACATCAGTTTCATTTGATACTCTGGTGAGTGAAGAGGAAGATGAAAATGGCTCTGTTGAGAAGATAAGTGATTGCACTTGAAGTTGTCAGCAGCTGTTCTTTACTATTTACTGAAGAAAAGTGAGTGTAGTTGTGACATTTTAAATATACAAACTATCATCAGACCCTGTTAGAACAAAGGCTACTGCCATCTGGCTTATACTAGCATTGAAATGCACACATTCCACTGGAAATGAAGCAGTTTCATAAAGTAATCAGATTAGCTTTTCTATGTAACTCTCTTATTAGTGCTATGATTTGTCTCTTGGGACCCATTGATCCTTGGTTCTCGCACATTTCTAGTCATTTTTAGAGAATAAGTCTAAACAGGCATTATGTTATGCCTATATTTTCTGTGTTATTTCTGTTTTTTTTAACAGAGAAAAACAATTAATTATCCTAAAACACAGTCAAATTATAACAATTTAAGAAGAACCATTGCTAATGAAAAAATATCTAAATTGACTGTACTACATTCAACTTTGCCAACTGGAATCCTTCATTCAACAGAAGACTCTCATAATCTCTTCATCCCCTCAAAATGAATCAGCCTTTTCCCCAACTCCAATGCTTTGGTTTCCACTGCTCTTTTATCTGTCAGACTTTTCATTTTTCTTTTACCTACTGTTCTAGAGAATTCTATGTAAGTCCTTTCTCCACCTGAAGAAATCTTTCTTATTCTTTCTAACAGTGAAGACTTGCTTATCTAAACATTCCCTTGCATTTTTAAACACTTGATCTGCACAATGTTCTATTTCTTGCTTAATGTGTATTTTTCTTCCACACTACATTATCATTACTTATTTTGAAAACAGTATATGGTATCCCTTCAATAGCAAGAAAAATGAGCTCCAGAAATCTCTTTGTATATACAAAATACTTGTTCATTTATGAATTTATTAATTCAACAAATATTTATTTAGCGCCTAAAATGTGCTAGATCCTATCTCTTGTATTTGAGATGAAAATAGTTGATTCATATCCGAATGCTTACAGAGATGTTTGACTTTTTGTAAATTATCTACTTTCTCTCTCAAAATTAATGAATTATAATTTATGCAATAAAATTATATTGCATAAATTGTATTCTTGAATAATATTTATTGTGGCATATGTTCAGCAAACCTCTACAAGAGGCTGTTCAATAGAATTTTCTAAGATAATAGAAATTAACTGTATCTGTGCAATCCAATGTGATAGCCATTGGCCACATAAGGCTATTGAGCAATTGAAATATGAATGATACCTTTCAGTAGGTGGTAGCTTTAAAAAATGAAATGTGGATGATATGGCAGAGGAACTAAAATTTTATTGTTATTTAAATTTGACTGATTTAAATTTAAATAGCCACCTGTGGC